CACAAGCAAGTAACGTTAAACAAATCAGGCTTTTGATGCACATTAGCAACTTTCAGCGGAGCTGGCCATTAAGGCCTCATCTTTCAAATGAAATTTTACATCTGCAGTGTTAGTGCCATTTAGTTTTACTGGCACATACAAGCACAACAGAGACATGCTCAGAAATGTTAGTATTGTACCTGCAGGTTCCCCTCTTGCAGGCCGAGAGATTGACGCGATATGCTAGCTCGATGTGCTCCTGTCTGATTTCTTCTGGTTTCACCGTGTCCACCCAACGCCAAGCCGCTTTCTCCAGCTGTAAGCGGGGCGCCATAATCCTACGATGTAACGTTAACCACTCGGTCAGATATATAAGTCAAATAAAGCAACAATGCAGTGGCCTAAGTTTAGCCAAATAGTTAACATAGCCGGCTAACAGGAGCCAAGTAGGTTCTTGCAGGTCATTGCTCATCTCCCGCAGCAGCTCACTGTTAGCTATGTTGTGCTACTTAACCTAGCCAGGTAACGTTAGCATTCGCTTAGGATTTTTCTCAATACCCTGCTGAACTTAAAAGTGACCATACCACACTACACATCGCAATAATACACAGAGCATGAAAATACACAAAATTACGACAAACAGTATTTGAAGAGTTACGCCAGGGGTAAGGACTACCCTCGTGCTAATGTTAGCTAGCTATCTAGCTAACATTTAGCTAGCGCGACCGGCAGTGTTAGCAAGTCATTTTCCCTGCATTTTCCATTTAACGCTACCGTACGCTAACGTAACGTGTATTGTGTTAAGGTTAAATATTATCGAACCTTTCATGCGTGCGGCTGCTTCACCAAAATATTTTATGTATTTTCACATTTTATTCACGGTTTATTTTAGATTTAGCGCCCTTACGTCAGTTTATAAATAAATTATTTCTCCGCTCAAAATCAACACGACGTCACCATGTGACGTAGGCGACGTCTCTTTGTTGTGACTGGAGGGACGAACGGAAACATAGCGAGCCTTCAGGGGGCTCGTTCTTACGGTGCGTTCTGGCCCCAATAGTAACAGAAATGGCACTTTTATTCTGTGTGGATCAAATGCATAACTGTGTCACATGTGTTATACAATACATTTATTTCTTTTCATATACTTAAATTATGGAAAGTGTGTTTTCATTTTCTTAATGTCTTGTGATGTTAATAGCCTACCATCTATGATTGATACTTGACTGATTAGGGATTCAAAATAAATACAACATTTACATTTTTTTTTAAAAGTCTACGTTTGTATAGTTCAAAACAAAACTAGATAAGTCAAAGAACTTGATGCTCCTTTTAAGTTAGTGACTAAATATGTAGTGAATGACTCACGGTGTAACACAGATCTAGCCTGAGGGCTGCACATGAGCACATTAAAATGTGGCATTTCTTGGTTCTTTATTTTACTTAAAGTGTTTGTTTGATTGTTACATTTGTTATTTATTTAAACCACTTCTTAATAACAGAGAAGAAGGCTTTATAAATCCTTTTGCCTGCCCTCTTAACACACACCTTCTTCATATGATATATCCCAACATTGTCTATGTTGGAAGAAAAGCAATCTCGTGTCTTTGATGTTTGCATTCAGAAAATGTTTTGTTTAAGCCCTGGTCTTCTCTCACATGTTGTCTGTATAAATATTACTCTAATTATGACAACTAATGATACAGTTATATGGCCTGGGTATCTCCTTGTATTAGCTGTTGATATATATAGTCAGCTTAGTCAGTGAGGGACATGTCTCGTGCTGCGGCATTGCATATTTTCAGGCTGTAAAGACTGCTGAAGTGATGCATGACCCACTGTTGAAACAGTTTAAAAAGGTTTTAGGGGTAGGACAAACTGTTTGTGCAAAAGTGTAACTGCTTGCATATTTTAAGCTTGTGAGTTGACTGCAGACAAGACAGCATATGTGCAAAGATAGTAAACAACTGAACACTGGTGACAACTGCAGAAACCAAAGAACGTACTCATGCAAATAGTTTATTATTACACAACTCTATTTTAAGATTGGAGAGCTAATGGCCATAGGTGATGTAATCATTATAGCAGGTCTGCTGACTGTATACGTATGAGATAATCAAACGCAATGTAAATGTGCTGTGGCTGCTGCTGTTCACAGGTATTCAGCATGTGTGTTCTTGTGTAGCGTAAATTTGAATTGTGCTGACTACAGAGAAACAGAGCATTGATTTTAGGAAAAAGAAGGCAAAGACACACACCCCTCTACATCAGCAGAGCCGAGGTGGAGCAGGCGAACAGTTTCAGGTTCCTGGGAATTAGCATCACAGAGAACTCACACAGCTCCACCTAGGTTAGAAAATAAAAATCTCAGAAATGCTGGATTCTTTAGGCAAAATTACTGCCATGTGCTTGTTAACTTTAACAGAGGAGCAGCAGAAGGCATCCTCACTGGAAACATCACAAACTGGCGTCGGATGTGCACATGTACATACTGTCTGGATGCAATTGTGTATAGTTATAGTATAAATATGTAACTGTATATTTGATTTTATTTAATTCCTATTTATTCTAATTTAAATAATTGTATGTTTCGTGTGTGTGTGTGTGTGTGTGTGTGTGTGTGTGTGTGTGTGTAACATTAAGGGGCTACAGTTTACATTTCATTGTGCATTGTTCATGACAAATTTATAAAGCCTGAGAATTCATTATAGGAAATAGGTAAACAACAGGCCAAGTTATGATGGATAGTTTGAAGAGAAGTACAACACAATATATGCAATGTACGTGGAGTGAGACGCACAGTATGACCTGTTTCCAATTCATGGGGAAATAGTCCAAACAAGATGAAAATCATTGTGAATAAAGATGCCTTCACACTTCATGACCAGACGGATAGAAAAAGCTATTCCCTGACATATGTAGGCCTATTAATTTGCTGAATCAACAACCACTAAAGCAGCATCGATTCCAATGTAGTGAAGTATCTGACATGTAGCAGTCTCCAAGAGTCTTTGAATGTAGCACGTTGTCTGACTGCTGAGACTGAGATGAGAGGACGAGGCTCCGCCCACCCCCACCCCTCACCCCGAGCTCGTGAAGAGCGGCAGCGCACGCGAAACCGTCAGGTACTTTCACGGATACCTCAACTCAACCAGCACTACGCTGCTCCTCAGGTAAAAACCATCTATTACACTTTTACAACTAAAGAATTTCATTTTCTTACCATGTATAAGCTGTATGGATACTATTAGGTTGTTCAGAAATATTGCTCTCATAATGAGTTGTAGGCAATAGGCCTACTAATTAAAAAAATGTAGGCTATTTTCAGAGAACAGTATAGCTAATTCCACACAAATAAACCGAAAATAAACACTATTATAGCTAGCTGTCTTTATGCCAAACTCCATGTAAAAATGTATGGAAATTTAATTTAATATAAGGATATATTCATACATAAAACACACTAACATTAATCCGTTGGTTGTCAGTTTGCTACAGTGAAGTTTTTAGCCTGCGTTTGTTTTTACAAAATCAGAAAATAATCTCGAACTTCCTTATTTGGCATGTAGCTACATTTTAGGAGGTTCTACCTAATAATGGTGCATCTCGGGAAATAGTTCTGGAAGGTCAGAGTTCATTGGCCTTTCAAGGCCAGGATTATAAAACGACCCATTTTTTGTCCTGTCAGGGAATCAGCCTCTAATCTGTTCCCACAGCAGGCACAAGTAAGGTGTACAGGATTAATCAACCACTGCTATTTACCTCTAATCCTCTGCCTTTTTGAATCTTGTGTAACTGATCGGTACAAATGGGCTTTACCCAAGGAGGACTGACCTCAGCCATGCTATTTATGTAACAAGAATACAAAGGGAAGGTGGGGTGACAGGGAAGGGTTAGGGTCAGGGTAGGGACCCCCGCCATTCAATTGTATTTGATCATTTTCTGTACATTTCATGAGCTAAATAAATACATAAAAATAGTATAGTACTGACCCATAAATACTATATATATATGACTATGGTATATATATGCAGTGGTCAATCCAATATTCAATTACAGTGATATTAACCGAGAGATTTAGCAAATCCTAATATTTGAGAAGCTAAAAGAAGAATATTTTTGGTATTTTTACTGAACATTATAAAGGGATTATTAAACTATTAACAGTTAATTTCATAATTTGCTCACCTTCTAAGAAGTTTATTATTTCACAACAGATTTCTAAGTCATCATGTCTAAATAAAAAAGAGGTCACTGTCAGGTGAGTGTCTTCTGATTTGCCAACCCAATTGATGTGAAGCACCCTGCAATCTGGTTCAAAGGTGTTTAAGTCATAGAACCAATACTGCAGACAAAATAATAAATAAATAAATAAATACATTCTTTACATTCTCTACAAAGAGATGCAGCTCACAGTGTTTTATATTAATAAAGTGAAAAAAGCAGTTAAAATTAGACTGACAGGCAAGTTTATTGGGGCACATACTAACCACAGCACATGGATCATGTGTCTCAGAGGCTGAGAGCATCACAAAACAGGATTTAAACAAAAGAAACAAAATTGTTGCACTTGAACATGTACACTGAGGCTATCTTTCCTGAAAATGGCCACTGCGCTTAATGATTGTAAAAGTAAAAATGCTCTAATGATGATAAAATAAATTTCTGTTTGATTTATTGTGATACTTACAAAATGTATAAATATGGTTTATAAAAGATACGAAATTTATTCAGTTATAAGCCTTACAGCTAAATACTACACTTCACAGAATGAGAATAACTGAGGGCCAAATGTCATGTGGGGGGCAGAGGTGTGTTAAAGTGGGCGCACAGTACTCAGCACAGTACAATTAATGCTGTCAAAAAGAGACACATCATGTGATGCTGATCATATTAAAGTATTCCAGATTTCTAAAGAAACACTGGTGACTTTCCACTCATAACTTGATGCATGGTGTTGTCTCTCTTTTTTTTTTAACCCACAAGAAATGTAAATCATGTATGTTATCTGTGCTTCAGGAGTCTACGGTTAACGTCAGAGCCAAGATGGGGCGGAAGGAAATCATCTGCAGCTGGAAAAAAAGTACCAATAACATCAAGGATGTGTTTGCCTTCGAGGGGAAAATGGGATCGTAAGTACCTTTGTTGAAAATAGAAGGTAGACAAGAGAAAGAAATGGCAATTGCTATGTGTGTACTTCAAGAAGAGAGAGACTAGTTTCGTACACAAGTATCAACGTTCATTGACAGTTAACTGCACATGGCAAGTTATTTAGACAATCTAAGAACTTTGCAAATTGCAAAAAGTTACTCTTGAAGAGTATCAATTCACTAATAATGGGCATACAGAACAAATTAACAAAGAATGTCATTTGGAGAATCAGAGAAAAGTGGCTACCTCCATTTGCAAGCATGGCGGTGGGGCCAATGAGATGCACAGCAGATCCCCCCCCCCACCCCCGCCTAAGTCTGTGATATGCACCGGTACTCGTTTCGATGTCATGTCACGGTTTGGGTGGGATAGTCATCAGTCTAACCATTAAAGGCAATCACGACTCAAATACCATTTGGTGATGACTGCACAATGTCTTGTGGGAATGAATGGTTGTGTCAGGAAATCCTGCAGATGCAGGCTGCCGTAGCAGAAGCGGTGGGTGTGGTCAAAAGCAGGGTCAAAACAGTCCTGAACACAATGTGGACAGAACTGAAAACGGCAGCATCCTTTGGTCAGCGTTAACTGTTGACTCAGCGCTTCTTGAAAGTGGAGACAGAGAAATATTCGACTCTTATGTGTATAATGTGTAAATACTGTCAACCATCATCAGAGATGGGACATAAGTCTTTGTTGCAGCAGCTAACCTGATTTCAGCTACCATTTAGCCTAACTTCAGGGGGCTGTTAGTAGACTAGGTGGATGGAGAAGTCAAACTGCTGTCCATCTCCTTGTTACCAGGCTCAGATTGGCCTACAGGATGAGGATAATCCCTTTTATTACCTCCCCGAGTGCTTGTTTAATCAATGGAGCCTCTTACTTCGCCTCTTACACAGCTGACCCTGAAAGTCAGTCTGCTGCATTAATTCTGACCATTCTTTTTTGAATCTGTCCCGCAACTTTATGGAGGTGCAATGCTGAATCAATGGATTGTCCCTTTAACAAAAAAAGCCTTCAGATTCATTGATGTTGATGTCTTTGCAGCAAATTTAAATGAATTAAATACAGTAAAATAGTGATTTAAATCAGAAAATATGTAATCAAGAATATGAATCATCATGAACAATCATTTGGTGCAACCTAACTTTGAGGTTCCACACTCAGCCTTCTATATGATTAAGGATCCTAAAACTCGCAAAGGCACTATATGGTCCTTTGAATAGGTTTAGTTAGTGTTCAAGAAACAAAATGTATTTCTTTCCTGTCGTGCACAGAAAAAGTTTTTGCTTTATCTGCCTCATTTCCAGAAATTTAGCAAGACCGGGTTTGCTTCATCTCACTGACAATGACAATACAATGACCTGTTACAAGTGGTGAAGTTAACTGTAGGTATTGCTTCCTCAGAGCTGTCCTGCTGTCTCAAAGCAGCTTAAAGCGTTCCATCCTCGACTGGCTGTGAATGAGTGAGGCCTCTGTGTGTGTGTGTGTGTGTCTGAGGTTCCTAAGCAGTGACGTCAGAACAGCAGTATAGGAACATCCTAGCACCATTTCATTATAGGATTAAGAGTCTGACTGACTATACTGGTGTATGGGTGTACTGAATGTATGTTAATGGAGATGGTATAAGCACGTGCAGGTGTGTCTGTGCAAACATGAGACTGAAACGTGTCAACACATCTGTTTCTTTGCAAAGCCTTTTAGAGATGGACTAGATGCATTCACTTTTGTATGAAAGTTATGAACAAGATGATTTATTTTGCCATTTTAATATATTTATGGATTCTATTTCAAGTGAAAGGTTGTTTTTCTTTTAGAAATATGTTCTTGTTTTAAAGTAGAAAACACAGTGTAATCAGCATGTTCACAGGAAAGTCAAATTATGAAAGTTGCACTTAAATGTAGGATCAAATATGCTCCATTATGAAATTTTTGATCAGAAAGGGATAATTTCCTGCTATATAAAGTTGGAAAATAAAGGTTCAGATGTACCTTTTAATAAATGGCAAGTATCAGTATATGAGTCTAACCTTAATTCAGAACACAGTGCATGAAAAAATTAATAATAGAATAATATAATGGTTAATATCTGGAGTGGGTATTTGAGTCTCCCTTTTTGGGTCTGAGCTGCAATGTCACCTGTGCAGATGCTCGACTCATTGGCCACAAAGTAGGATTACACCCTGGCTGCCATCTGACTCTAAGCCTAAATAAAGAAGTGCCATGCTGATACGCAGCCTTTCTTGGTTACATGGGGTTGTCATGTCATCTGATGTCAAGGCAGCCTGGTCAGACATGTGTATTACAGGAAGAAAATATGATTGGATTTTGACCTAATAATACTAATAAATTGTTTATTTTGTATTATTGTTATTATATGTTGTTAAATAGGTGCACAATATGAGGGTGTAATATAAAAGGATTAAAAAGCCAGGACAGTGAATAAAATTGGCATTAAAAAAAAAACGGAACTGAAAAGGGAACAGCTGGCACTGAAGAGAGATATAGTTCATTAAACTGTTACTAAATAATATTAATACTTTATAGTATAATAATAATACTTTACTTAATGTTACTTTTCAGTTTTGCAACAATCTGCAACTTTATTAACGGACAAAATTATCTTTTAAATTGATAAACATCATATGTGTAATTCAGGGCACAATTCAAAGGGGATAAGAAAAATAAGTTGCCTCTCGCAGTTGACTACCGTACATGTTTTTTCCAAAATAAGGTCCCATTGGGTGGAAGAGGAAGCGAGGTACTTAGGTACTCTATAGCAGCTTATATGTTCATCCACAGTGACACTTCAACAAACCAGATCAATAATGTGTTATTACATTAAAGTGACGCCAGTGTACATTACGCTTAGTTAGTATGCTTATTGTTTGACTTTATAGGAATTTATTACTCCTGGCCTGTATTTGGGACTGGCCTTTATTTGTTTGTGCCAACCATACCCCTGGCCATTATTATTATTGACTGCTTATTTGAGATAATTTGGTATAGATATGGTTGCTAAGATACAAGTGTTTCTTTGTCGTTTTCGGACATTTCAAGCTCTGGTACCATAACTGCATCAACAGATGTACATCGAAATCCAAATGGCAACTGGCTTGACCGCTGTAATCCCAATGAGTTCACCTGTAACTCTCAAACCATAATTAAGTCTGTTTCTCGCTGCTGTTTTTTGTTCATTTAAGCTTAACATTAACTTGTTGTCACTATTAACTAACAGTAGCACTTGTTCCAGCAGACCTTAAAAGTTAACTTTTACCCAGTCTAGTTTTATGTGATAAAACAACAGCAGAGTGAAACAGACTGACTTGCTGTTTGAGAGTTACAGGTGAACTCGTGGAAGCCACTGCTGTCGGTTTGCGGTGATGCCAGAGGCTTTGGAGCGGATGAGATGGATGCTTAAGGAAGCGTGACGTTCTCTCATTATCCAACGAACGTTAAAATCAAGGGCAACTGGACTTGGTTGATACTGGAAGACGTTTCGTCCCTCATCCAAAGGACTTCTTCAGTTCTGACTGACCGGCAGGGAAACTCAGCTGTTTAACCTCAGTGGGGTCGTTTGCCAGGATCATCGATACCGCTGGTTCATTAGTGTTCCTGGTTGCTGTAACAACAGTCATTACGGTCGTTAGGACTACAGGTGGCCAAGACTGAACGACCATCATTGGTATCTTCACCTGAGGCCAATAGGTTACGTTTGTTGAGTTTCCTGGGAAGTGATGAAAGGACAGCATTGTAGGTGGGGGATAAGTGGTGGCGTAGACCCCCTCCCCTGTTCAATGACGGCTTCTCCACCCTGGTGTAGATGGCTTCCTTGACACCTCTTTCAAACCATCCATCTTCTCTGTCTAAAATGTGCACCTTTTTCAGTTCCGGTGTTGTTTCCAATGCAAAATTTTATTTTCGATGTTAAATTTTAACGTTACTCTCCTGGCTCCATAGGTATTAACATCAGACCTATACTTTTCTATATAAATGGCACACTCAAGCTCAATTATCAAAATCACTTAGTTAGGTAATTACATGTACATAGCACTAATTGTGATTACTGAGATTTTTTCATTTACTAAATATGAAAAGCATTGATAAATAATTGTAAATGACATGTGATTTCTGATGAATA